TAATCTTTATGATACAAATTTTCTTTTAACGAAACTAAAGCAAAGAATTAAGAGACACTGCTGCATCAGCTTAATTATACCGAGAAAGGAGAGGTTACCAACATCCTCCGTATGCTGCCAACAACAATGCATTACAAGAAAATCACCCATGCAGCCCGAGGCAGGCGGATGCGTTCAGAAACGGTTCGGAACACCTCGAGTGGCAATTCTCGTCAATTACACGCGTCTTTCTTTCGAGCAACATCAAAACGAGCCCTGTGAACTATCCTGTATCCCGAGGCTGCATGGGGTTTCCACCGGATAATCCGGCGAAAGTTGGTGTCGGATGAAATTGCCCGAGGAAACAGTTGGCGAGCCAACGGAGGGTGGTGACGTCCAATACTCTGTTGCTTACGATGGTGGTGGTGATTTTGCGTGAACCCTCAATGTACGCGACGTAATGACGTTACGCTAACTTGATCAATCGTCCACTTTAACCACATACTCCCTGCTCGAACGGATGTACGAACTCTGGCCTCTGTCGAGCATAAGCCAAACAGGTACTCGATGTTCCTCCCAAATGTCGCGTGTCCTCTGGCGCGCTTTGATGAACTACTCCCTGGATTTATCGCTATTCGATACACTAATTAATGTCAAAGGGATGAATGTCCTGTGCAGAGGCGGAGTCGTGTGTCCTGGTAGATAATCGTTGATCAGATATGAGTAAAACATACTGTCGAGACGAAACGAAGCTGTGATATGTATAGATATTGCTTTTATACCTGTGTCCATGATAAAACGCGAACTCAATCCACCTCAGTCCATCTCAGTTCATCTTAGTCCATCTCAATTATCTCGGTCTATCTCAGTCCATCTCAATCTATTGGTATTACACAGACATTACATACTTGACAGACGAAAGTTTGAGAAGATAACTAGTATGCGACCTGTCGAATGCAAAAGGTAGCTTCTTATTTAAATTGCTGCTCCGAAAATGCTGATTCTAGAGTCAATATTAGGCCGGTCGTAAATCAGCCGTGAAAAAACTCGTTTCCGTCAATTAGCTCGGAGGAACGTGTCGACAGGTCTTTGTCGGTAGACTTTTACGATGTACACGGAAGAGAAGAAAAGCGCAGGGCGCTCGTAGATCCGCTCGAACGGTTACGGGAGGCGTTTCATTTACCTGGCTGAACGAGAGTTAACCACGAGTTAATCGGAAGTTAAAGCTAAGCTCCCCCTTTCATGGTGTTGAGTAAACTTCGGACGGACCCCTGCGGGCCCTGCTGCCTTTTTGCACGAGCTTCGGCGTACCCATCGAAGATAAACAAACTATTTCTCGTCTCCTTTCTAGTATTTTGTGGGGCCAGCCATTTGATATGCTTTTTATGTGTGACGATCATCTAGAAAACGATTTATACATAACGGTTATATATATATAAAAAAAAAATAAGAAATATTGCAAAATTTTAAACTGTAGTGTCATTGATAGTTACGTTAATGATAAATTTTGTGGCGTTCTTAAAGGCAGAAATTATGAACGGACGAAATAAATATTGAATAGCCAAGTTATTCATAAGTTCAGTTTCTATATAGACGTGAAAGTTGTTCTCATTGTAGAGAATCGGTTTTCGCCACGAATTTCTTTCCTCTACGGTCCGCAAGTACACACCAGTTATATCCCTATCTCGTTCAACTTTCTCTGTTTACACACCGCGTCGCTGCGGGAGCGACGGACAAACGAACTGACGGACAGACCGTTCCCTTGAAATAACAATTCTCTCCGACAGTTCATCCCGTCTTCATCTCGTCGAATCTTTTGCCGTCGCTGTCTGCACACTCCCAACTGGAATACTATTCCGATATCGATACGTGCTCGTTACAAATTACTTACTGAATGAAAATTATACTGTATTCTTTATGAATTAAAAATTACCCAAATATTTTTCTTTTTGACTCCTACTACTCTGTATAACGTTGATTATTGGATACTATTCTAAATTTGTACGAAAATCTGTGTAATTTTCAAGCAAATAGAATTTAAAGACGCAAAAGTTTCGGTCAAAAGAGGGAGCAGAAAGCTCACAAGAAACACGAAAATAGCAACCAAGTGTTCATGCTTCTCTAGCCACATCGTCCAGCTTGCGAGGGCAAGAAGACTCAGGACAAAAAGGACGGCGAAACGAGCGGGTGACACGCGAAAGTGGAGAATGCAAGAACGCGTTGAGGCAAGCAAGGCTGTTTGTAGACCTCTCGAAGTCGCCGCACGCCCGAAACTCCACCGGCTTCGACGAGTGGATTATCGGTGGAAAAGGAATTAACGAACGGGAGCGGCGAGAGAGTACTTCCCCCGTCTAGTACCTCTTCGTGGCTTTTAGATAAGGTCTCTCCGCCCTACGCATCAGTCGCACCACAAAACATACGCGAAAGTCGCGCGGAAGGGCTCACCAGCGCGGGATTCAAAGCCCTTTTCTTCGCAACCTTCACTCCTCCTCTTTCTTTCCCTTGTTTTCGAGTAGTCGTCACCTCCCACGATTATGAGTGATTTATGTGTGCGACACTTGATCTTGAAAATGAGCTGAATTAATCGGAGTCGATGTGTGGTGTTGAATATTTTGATATTGCAACGTGTGATAAAATACTTGCGTAACCAAATGTGTCCGTGGGGAGTAAATGGCGTCCAAGGTTCTTAATCGTTAGCTTCTATAGCGTGTAGGTCTTCAATATTTTCTTTCAATTAATGTTGACTATCGAAGATGGATTAGAATTGAAAATGTTAGTCAAGGAGCATAGTAAATAATAAAACAAGTACGTACAAGAATACTACCGAGGAAATTAGTAATAAGATGTATAGTTATTCGCATATTGGTACTGAATACTCACAGGAATTATTCATTCGACATAGCACTCAATTCGAAGACCAATTTTAAAAATTCCTGGAAATATTGTAATGGGTAATCACTTCTCAGAAGGGCAATTGCAAAATCGTGTTCGCCATAAAACGATCGGTATTCGTGGCGCACACATGAGGCAGCGGATGAGGTCTGCCCCGAAGGGGGAGCAAGAATTTTCGAGGGTGGCCGATCCCGCTAATATTCAAAGAATTAGACAGACGGTGGCAGGCTCTCGAGACACGGTCTACTGCACGGGGCCCCTTAAAGTGCTTTCGTTGCATTCTACGGCGCGCATAACTCCGACAATGGGGGTTACACGGGGCTACACAGGGGGATTGCAGCGGGTTACAGGCACTCGAGTAGGAGGTTACAGGCAAGGCAACATATAGGTCGGACGCGCCTTTGATTCTTGCGATAAAAATCGAGCTTAGGCGTACCTTTCACACATGCCTCTAATTTGCCCCTTTGTCCTCTTTTTAAAATCGTTCAATCTGCTTCTTCTTTACCCCCCTCAATTCAATCGAACTTCATTCAGTCAACCTAATTCTTACGCTTTGTCGTAGAATTCTGCTTTTAAGAAAAAGCGGTGATCTACGATCTACTTACTAATAGATTGCTCTTCCTGTACGGTGATTTACTAATCTACCAAATATAGTAATTTGTTCATCTAGTAACTTGCTCTTGTCCGTGTAATAGCTCGCTAATCTATCAATGTACAGACGGATTAATTCGTTAGTCTCTTGGTTTGTTTAATTTCTAATATATTTCAAGAAGCAATCCGCTAGCTTGGTGGTCCTGGTTTACTAAGCTACTGACCCACCAGCGCAACCTACCACGATTCTAACCATTAAACCTTTTAGCCTAGTTTATTTGTTTCTCGTAACATATAACAATTAATAAATCTTTATACACAATTAATCTGTTCATCAAATTTTCTGTTCTATTAATTTATCGGTATACTTTTTACCAATTTAAATTGGTCGATGCAATTCTTAAGTGACCACCATAAGATTTTTATTAGATATATAGTTGCTGTACTTCTATGACGCCCTAAGCGTGGCGCGCAGTTTAACGTTGGCGCCGTTATCCTAGCAAACTCGCGTTAAGGATTAAATCGGCCGACAGAAACGGAGAGCATTGTTTTCGCGGCTCGACGACAATGCCACGATGATCGGGACGCGCCCCTGTAAACGCGGCATAATGCACAATACGGATTATAACGCGCCGCTGTCATAAGCAGATGCCGATTTCGATCCCGTCCGCACGGCTGGCTTCCCTAATCGCGTTCAATTGCCGTAAAAGCGGTTTCAAGCGGGGCACGATTGCTCCTCGGCCAGGAACTTCACAAAACTGCGGCGTTTTCCTTTTGACATCGTGTAAGAAGGAAATCAACCGATAGAGCTTCCGTTTTTGACGATCTGCTTGCGAAAAATCTGGAGTTCTAGGATCCACTCGGTTGTTCTGGAATTGTGAGATAAAGTGGGATTAAAATTTATGGGTTTTTTTAGGAGAGGGAAGATTTTTTTTTTACTTTTTATTCTCGATATAGGTACATGGAAATATTTGTGTTAGTTGTACAGCGTTCTTTTTTTATTAACGAAAATTGGGGAGTACAAAATGAAAAAAGTTTACTAAAGAGGAATCAGTAACTAAATCGCTGCAAAATCGTTTTTATAAATATCCGGCGAAGTGAACGAGGCGTTAAATCCCTCTCGAAGGAATAACAGACTTATAATAACTGTGGATTATGGATTTAAGGGGGCCACGAATAGTTCCAGGTTACTTAAAACGTACATACGCAACAAAAGGCTTGCACTCGCCCCCTTTGTAAAAATATTTAAGTTCCTACCTGACGACAGTTCGCACATCAAAAATGTGTCCTAGGTTTTTCAAGAGAGGGAGAAAAGGAAAGTTGAGCATTTGGTAACCTACTCCGAACTCTATTTCCTCTCGAATTCTTTCTAAAATTAATACTGTGAAAAATTTGTAAAAAGTAGTCAATAGTATAGGCTTTATTTTTCAATTTCGATAAATCATTCTGTCACGGGCACTTTACTGTCTCTCCTTTTTTTGTAGTTTCTATCAGTAAAGTCCTCCACTAATGGAAAAAATTCCTTTTTCACATTACAGGTGAAAATATGGTTTCAAAATCACCGATACAAGCGCAAGAAGCTAGCGAAGGAGAAGGCGATGGCCGAACAGAATGCACAAAATCAGGTAACTACCTGTTAAAAAGAGAAACATAAAAAGTTAATATAAATACATTGAACAAGCCGCACGAAAAAAATGTAACGTCCAAGAAAAACATAGAAAAGCATCGAGTGAAAAAAAGAGGAAGTCAGAGAGAGAAAGAGGCAAGGATTAAATTAAATTCTGTCGTTCGACCGTCTCTCGTGTGATGATAATACGCGTCCTCGATAGATCGGATTTCCCGAGGGATTTTGAAACGGCGAGACACACGACAAAATATCGAGCGTTTCGAAATGAAATGCTTTTAAATGAAAAATATTCCGGACGCGGCGCGGATCCTCGCATCCACATCGTATTTCGTTTCGAGTGGCCCACTCGACCGGCTCGAAGCGATTCTGCATTCATTTCGTTATTCCAGCCGAAATTTTTGCAGGGATACCGACCTCCGTGGAACGTAAAATCGTCTGTGTTAAACATGTAATTACCACGATGTTTCCCCGACTGGCTGTTGCCGTATCGTTTCTTTTTACCTGCATTTTTTATTTCCTTTCTTCGTCTTTTTTCCTTGTACATCTTGTTACATTTTTAAATCTTTTTCATCTTCTAACGAGTGACAGTATTCGTTCGAGTCTCGCCGAGCTCACGATTCATTGACCAGTAGTGCTGACAGAATAGAAAAAAAAGCAAATTAAAATATTATTCCAGATCAGCTAGAATACGTATAATTTAAAAATTATTAGTTTGAAAAAAAAAGTTATTTAAAATTGCGATCATTCGTTATAAAATCCACCATGTGACGAATAATAACGTGAACGTGATTTGTATAAATTGTATGAAAAACATAATTCCAATTCGTCAATTTTTACCTACAATTTGCAAAGATGGCGCCGTGGTCGAGGATTTCAAAAGCGTACGAATACCACGATATTATTTCGCACCCATAGAAACCAGTCAAACAAGCCCTTTTTCTTCTCCTATACCCCTTTCTTTCTCTCTCTCCCCCTTTTTTATCGGCTCTAATAATGACGCGCCAGATTCCCGAGATATCGTAATTGCAAGTTCGAAACGTGCCCTGTCTCGATCTCGTCGCACGCACTGACGAATACGAATCGCTCCTCCAGCCGAGCGCCCTCTCTTCTTTTCAAGAATAACATTCAAAAGAGACGTCAGAAGACGGCGATCGTGCCGATACACACAGATCCGTCACGGTGAATATATTACAGTCGGGGACGAGTATGCGAGATCACGGATGTCCTGGCATGCATTAGTGGCAAATCGTTCGATTCGAGTTAGCGGGAATCTTTTCGTCGTGTCTTTTCAACGACGTTGAAAATCATTTTCGTGTCAACATGCCGGCGATTATTTGCTCTCCGTCAGTTTCTTGCGCTTCGAAATGGATTTCTTGCACGACTACGAAACGCGCAACACGCTTCTCGGAAATGTTTTCGAATCGTTTCTATCCAGCCACTTCGTTATCGCTTACTTTTTCTCTTTTTCTCTACACTGCCATGTTTTGCCCGCGCTGAAAATATTTTTGCAAAGGATACGTACCGATGCGAGCGACACTCAACGTGGAATGGCGTTTCGACGTAAGCGGATTTTTATAGCGTGTTTTTCGGCCAGCATCGACTTCACCGTTTCATCGAATTTCGATGGATACGTGCGCACACGTCGTCCGATTTTCGTGTAAAACCACTTTCGCAGGTGACGGGATCAAAGTCATTCTCCGTGTTTCGATCCATTGTTGTACACGCACGATATTCAGTATAAACGACGGACACTCGTTCTACGTCGGATTAAACAAATTCCCTAGCCCAGTGCTTTGTTTAACCTCATCTTCACGTAACACCTCCGTTTGTCTCGATAGATTCATCTTTCAAATTCTTATTTAAACTGCGATACACATTCCCTTTACTGTCATCTAGCACGAGACTAAATCTATATCGATCTCGAAACATCGAACTTTAAGCATGTAACAAGTAGTTATTTAGATCGCGATCAATCTTCTTTCTAAGTAGGGTCGACATTGTCGCCGCCAAGCGGCGGCTCGTAAACACCCATAGAACATTAATGGTGCTGAAAGTTATCCAGTGGCCCGATCTGTAAACCGTCCTTTCCCCTCGATTCGTCCACGCCAGGACGAGCAGCCGCCCCATAATTTACTCGTTAGTTTTTCGTGGCCCCCGTAGATGCTGCTTCCATTCATCTCTTCTTATTCGCTATCTCTCTTTTCACTTCTTTTTCTCCTTCTATCGTGCACCAACTTACTATTTCTTTCTCTCTTTCTCCACGGTTATCTACCATAGTCTCAATTTCAATTCACTGACTTGTTTACCGTACCTCCCCATTCTCCACACAGCATTTTCGTTCTAACATCACGATTTGCTCCATGGTACGTGTAATTCCGTGGTCGGGATCGCGTGTATATTGCAACGCGAAATAGAAACATACGCATCGGGCGTGGCAATGCAGTATTATTAGCATTTTATGCAATGAGGTTGCGCTCCGTAGATAGGTCTCTCAATGATAAAATAGAATCTTCCTAATATATAACTGAAATTATTTTTCAGTATCTTCTTATCGCTGTTACATTCGAAATGACGGTATCTCTTTCAAATTAACAGCTGCTACTGTTGAAATTTATTCAAATTTACAGAAAGTTAATCTTACGGAAAATATAAAAATCTATTATTTTCAAGTTATTAGGAATTTCGTATGAAATCTTTTTAGCATATTGCAAAATCGTTAACAGCTAATAAAATTAATCGTTTCCCGGGTTTAAAACACCATGCGACGGAGAGGTAGCAGCTTCGACGCCAACGTCGTCGTCGACGTCGACGACGGGTTGGCAGGCAGAGCTCCGATTTTTTTCCCTTTTTTTCCCTTTCTTTCGTTTTATTCCATTTCCTCCCCTCGCGGCGGTAAAAAAATTTCAAGTGGCAGCGCGAGCGAGCGAACACGAGAAAAGGAAAGAGAAAGAAAAAGACGGACAGGGAGAGCGGGTGAGAAGGAGAAAGAGAGAACGACAGGAGAGGGGTGGAGTGGTATCCTGCAGGGGAGCGCGGAAACGGGTGCTCGAGGACCGGTCGCCATCTTGCCGTGAGTACAGTCATGCACAACACCTGGACGCGAATCGGGGTTACCAATACTACTACTATTGATATCGATTAACCCTCCCCTCGAGACGCGAGTCGTCGATCTTTCGACCCACGGATTGTAACTTCGAGTTGCAATCGAGATTAAGCTGAATGTCTGCGACATCTTTATGTCTAGAGCGGGGAAATACAAAATTGGACGAAAATAACGAAGTCGCTCTGCGATCGATCTTTGCTCTGTTAAAATAATTTCCGTTAAAATAACTATCAAAGACAAATTTCAAGATACAATTAAACGAAGTACTTAATTAATTATCCCTATATCGGTTACTCTTTTCTCGATATAATGCAGTACACAAATTCATAACACATTCGTATTAGTCGAAATGAAGTTGAAATAAAAAGGTTTAAAAAGCTCTATCGAATTTAGCGATAAACTGATAATTATTAATTCTGGGTAATAGTTTTGGAGCAAAAAAAAAAAAAATAGAAATTTGTCTATACATCTCGAGAAATGCGGGAATCGTGCGAGGAAAGATCCGTGGCCTGATTTTCACGCTTTTCTGGGAGGGAGAGGGCGCGAAAGCTGTTTGGCGGGTATCGAGAGACCGCCTAATGTAATTACACTCGTGGTAAAACATCGGTTATTAGATTTAAAAACCACTTCCTCGTTTACGGAACCCATTGAATTCCATTCGTCGCGGAAACGAGAGGTCCCGGCAGAAATCTTTTAATATCTCTTCTCGTGGTTCTTTGTTCGACCGAGGCTTCTGTAAAGAACGAGACGTAGACGACCGCCGGGCTGGACGGCTTGATGGTGGTGGGAGTGGTGAAGGAACGAAAGAGGGGAAAAGCTGTGGCACTGGTAGAGCCCAGCTTTTAGTTAATTATATCAGTTCCGACGATGACGAGTGTTTTTCCACGAGAGATGCATTCGCGTGGAAGTCACTGGCGCGCGCGCGGCACATTTAGATATTCGATGCGGCTGTACATGGAATGAACATCGGCCGCGACCGCGTAGACGTTTCAAGTACAATTTATTTTGCAAATATCCCTGCCCTCGTTCCTCGTTCTCGTGATATATTAAAGGAATTAAACGTTCCGTAAAGGGTACCTTTTAAAAACATGATCGTCGGCGGAGGAAATTCTTTGCTGGCCGCCTTTCTCTTTTTCGCCTCCTTCAGATTAATTTCTTCTTTAATATGTACGAAAAAGTATTACCTTTATTCGACTCGTAGATTGAATTTCCAAATTATGTAGAACATTTAAATGGAAAAATCGGGGATGTGTAGGAGCGAATCTATAACGCTACTCATTGGCCTAAAAATAGAAATAAAAAATAGAATCTCGGCCGAGTCCTTAACCTAAAAAGCAACCGGTGACAACGATTGCTTCCGTGAAAGAAATATATGTATATACAGCTAAAAGGGGACGATGTTCCTCGAAGGGGGAGAGGGAAATCGACGCGTAATATGCTTCCCGAGAATCCAATCGCGGCCGCGCGATCACGGCAACATTGAGGCTCATTATGCGTGGCGCAGTGGTCGCCGCTCATAAACACGTACTACTCCGTTCCTAAGCACGGCCATTTTCGCCGGAAATCGCTTAACGCGTGTTGAAGTGGCTAAAGTGGCGTGACGCGTGACGCGCGCGCCGACCGTCATGCGTTTAGCGTAATCGTCACTTTGTCAGCGTGAAGTGCACGGCATGCCTACACTTATGTTCGCGGCCAGCAACGTGCACGTAAGTTCGTGTCGGCCACTCGAATCGAATCGTTGTTACACACTCCACCCCCATTGTTTCCTTTCATGTGTAGACTCGGTTACCAAATCAGTATGGTCGCAGAAGAATTTATTTTCTAGGCTTTCGGTGGACGTACCGCGGGAAAAATCATGCTAGAATGAAAAAAGAATAATTTGTAGTTGATAGAAAATTAAGTGGATATACAAAGCCACTAGAAAATGATCTTACAGTACCTTACTCGCAGAATATCAACTCATTTCTCAATTCCCATCTAAGTGTTCATCTAGCAATAAGTGTTGTATCTCCTATGACGTGATACTCGAGTTCAAAGCAGTGCAGGAATTTATTTTGTTAAGTGCTAAGTGATCTTTTAAGAGAAAAAAAACAAAACACAGGGTATCGTGAGGACCAAGCTCTATCTATGGTAGCATAAAATTTCACTAACCAAGAACAGACATTCGCATCTTCAATTATCCAACTGATCCTCAGAAAAGTGATCCAGCCAGCTTGAGTTCATCAGCCGAAATAGGCGTTATTTCTGAGCGGTCGCGATCATATTATTAAAGCGTCGCTGGCGTGGAGATCGAAGAGGAATGTCGTGTACCGAATGTTGATACAGCTGAGTGGTCGTCCCGGCAGGTACTCGGCCGGCTTGCTTCGGCTTCTGTTTGGCATGCCGTGGGGTCCCGTTCGTCGTATTGAATCCCCCCGGACAGAAACGCGGGGAGACGTGGGACAACAGTTCTCGATGTTGACGCGGCTCGACAGAGCCTCGGCTGGAACCCTGTGGTCCACGGTAGCTGGTACTGTTTATTCGTAATGAGAGAGAGAGTCTCCGGCTGCTAGAGTACGAGTACGCTCAAATGCTGATCACGAGGTATCGCGCGGGTTAAGTACCTGTGCCTACCGAGCCCACGTGTTTACTTGGAACACAGAAGCCGAGCCACGACGTCGTTCCATGTCTTCTCCACAGTTCGCCGTACGCAGCCTGTGCACCTACGTGTGGACTGAGTTTACACATCGGCGGATCGGGTAGACTAGACTGTCGTTTCTCTTGGATGAATAATGATGTCAGAGATTGGAAGTTCGGGTCTTTCTCCATATCTTGATGCGAATAATAAGAAATCAATTCTGTAAAAATAACTGAAGATCTATGCTAATAACTGACACGTTCTCTGTCACATGAGCAGTAGGTATTTGGTAAAACTAACACTTTTATCAGATAAACGAAAATATTCATAACAATTACTTCATCTCCTCGTGAATCACTCTATGCGTTCCAGTCCCTATAAATGTAATTTTCAGATACTGGAACCAAGATCTGTTATTGAGATTCGAAAATTTTAATCCAAAGAATCATTCTGTTCTCTGTTACAGAGTGCCAGTTCGCCGCGACGAGTGGCTGTACCAGTCCTGGTGAAGGACGGGAAGCCATGCGGAAGCGGTGGTGGAGGCGGAAACGAGGGCAACCGTGCCGGACCAAGCGCGGCCTTGGCGAGTCCAGCCCCTCTCATGACCGCGGCATCGAGCCCTCACGGCTCCCATCCAGCGGCCTCCTCGGTATCTCATCACTCGGTGGTCGGTAACCACGTGATAACGTCCAGCCAGGGTCATCAGCATTGCTCGTACTCGAGGACTGGTGCCCAGCAAAGCATGCAGCAGCAACAGCAACCGCAATGCGGCGCGTACCTACCATTCCAAGGTCGGGCTTGGTAGTACATGCCATCCGCGGCGGGGGCTAATCCCTCCGTCGCAGGTCCACCTGCCTGGTACCCCACAGATGACAGCCCCTAGAAAGAGTCTTGTGTCGCGTACTCCAATCTCTGTGAGACGTTTCCAGAACAGCTTACCTGGGCTGAATCTTTGGAATTGAATGACGAGACTGATCTAGAGGAGACTGTCTTTCCTTGGTGACTAATAACCATCGCAGGAGGAAGAGAAAGAGAGAGACTCGGTGAAATTGGTTAAACGACGAAACTTTTGCTCGTTGGGAGACGCAGACACGTGTAATATTGTCTAATGACAAAGGGTGACTAGTTTTTTGAAAAACATTCAGAACAGATTCTGTGTAGACCGCAGGATGGTTACTCGAAGTTAGTGATCAACATGGAACTCCTTCTCTTGTAAGGTTCCAAAGAAGTTATTTGAAGGTGCGAATCGCTTTGAGTATTGGTTGAATGTTTGGAGCAATGGAAGTCTTGAAAGAGTTGGGTTTTGATGGATCTGAAAAATTCGAGAATACGGATCATTTTTTAAGATAGAAAGTACTTACATCAATTTTGTCGTGCATTTTAATAATTACTATAGCAATTAAATTCTGTTCCCTGCTAAGTTCGAAGATCTGTTTAATGAAAACATAAAGTTCTTCCAAAGTTAGAAAAGCCTAACTTTCAAGGGATATTCAATCTGATTCTACCTTGTAAGAGAAATTTAATACACAAACGAAAATGAGTGTGGACCATGGAAAAACTATTGCACGTACGATTAATATTCGTTTATCGTGAAACAAATCCTGATAACGAGTTCCGCTAGAAGAATGTTAGATTACCTACTGTAGCAGTAGGCTACTACCCAATCATCTACTTCTTGTCTGAAGTATCTCGCATAAGACAAAGACTCAGAGTAATCAGAGTCTTAATTTGATGTTAAGGATGAAAGTACTTCCCTGAATTTACCTTCAAGATTCTTTCGAGCAATCAAATTCTTATCAGTAAAAAAAAAAGCTTGCACTGCACTCGCCAATTCATATAAATGTATAATTTTAAGCAAAGAATTTCTGTTTTAAATATAAACTAAATTCCGACTAATGAAGGCCAACATCCTTAACAAGATTTTCTTCGAAATTAAGAATACTGACGAACCTAAAGTTGTTTGGATGGGTAGCAGAGAGTAATTGACTTAATACGGCAACAAATTTCATTTCACCTGCAATCAACGAGCCAGTATCGGTGAAGGTGCAACAAAACGACGGAACAGATTGCAGATGCGTCGGTAATCTGGCCAGTGCACTCGAAACGCGTCGATTCCAATTGCGAGAAACCGTACACCGGTCGTATGCATTGCGTGTGTCATCGGAGACGCACTCTTGCAACACTGTTGCACTGCCATAACACGTACCATCGAAAAGGGTTCGGATTTCTATTGAATAGGAAATCTCTCCAAGCGGACTGGTTGCGAACGGTCGAAGGCTAACTTTGCTATTTTCCATTATTTCAGTTGTTTTATTCCAGTGGACCAAAGAGAAGTTTTATTTAAAATATATTCAAATAGATCTAAAAGGTCAAATAAATCAAAGTAAAAACGAAAAAAAGAAAACAAGAAATAGTAAAAATTTAGCAATTTAAGTCGTTTTATGTTAGCCTCGAATTTGTTACCTGGAAACATATATGGTTAGGATAAAAAGATAAAAAGATAAAAAGAACCAACGAATTGTATTAATACTTACAGCTAACAAGTCCGCTTAACACGATGATTTAAAGGTTGCCGATATATCAGGCCATTTTTAATGAATTTGGTATCAGCCACAACAAATTACAGGGCTGAGACATTTGATTGACACTGAGTCTAGAGTAAATTTATTTCCGCAATGGAACAATCTATTTGGGATATGCAACACCAGGACCTAAAAGCAACAAAGGGAAACAAAATTTATTAGCAATTGTTTATTAATCTGTTCAAAATTATTCATAGATTTACTTACATCATCTGATATTCATTTCACTCCAAGCAGTGCCAAGTTCAAAATTAAGACAGCTTCACCTAAAACAGTTAAAATAAAATACAAAATCTTTACAAATATAAAACTCAAAGATGCAGATTTGAAGCAACTTTGAAAGACCTTCAAGCTTGTTGCTTTCAGTGTCCATATGTCCCTTAGAACTTCTCAAATATCTTAATTCATCCAACACCCTAATTACAGAAACAACAATTCATACCCAGAAAACGACTACAAAGAACAACACTTATGATCTGAATGTAACAGCAAACTATAAACTTATTCTCTTACAATTCTTTATGTGAATACACCCACGATTTTCTCTCAAATATAACCACGATTTCCAAGATTCTATAACCCAGCAATTCAAAGAAACAGAATCTATTCGTGGTGAAAAGGATCAGCGGTAAAAGACCAACCAATCGGCTGCCAGTCGGAGATTCATCCACGAATCGCGTGAAAGTGAAATAGTGTTCTTTCAACTTTCACGATTCCGAGGTGGCAGACTCGAAAAGGTGGAAATGAAAGAACGCGGGCATGACTTACATTAGAGTCGAAACAGTCAAAACGGATTAATCGACCGGCAGGCTGGTGGTTTGTTCAATTGAACGACTCGGATCCAACGTTTCCTTTCTTTCTCTTCGTATGGAAACGGTGAAACCGTGTCGCGAATGTGTTTCAGGCGGACACGTCGAGCCAGGGACACGCGTGTACATAGTTAGAAATGTATATTACGACGTATTTCTCGCATCCGTCGCGAAATTGTGACGCGGTTCGCTCGCGTAGAAGAGAGAATCGATTTTCCACGGTCGACAACGATGACTACGAGGACGAAGACGAAAACAAAACCTGCTGGATGTGAAAAAGAAAGAGAGAGAGAGCGAGAGAAAGAGAAAAAAGGCGGCGTGTGCGCTGTGATAACGAGGTCACAGGTGTGAATCCGATGGTGTAAATATAATGTGTGGTATGCTGGTGTTTAGGCGCACACGCGACAAAGATGGCGCAAGAAAGAAGTATGAAAGAAGTGGTGGAAGTTGATCCCGAAGTTGAAAAGCGGTGAATTTCGACGACGACGCCGTGGGGGACGTTCACGTTCTACAGTAAACGATTTAGCGAACTCGAGCATTATCGACATTAATATAACACATACACACACAGATATATATGTACACTCTGATTACACGGTACATACGTACACAGATACACAAAAGCGTAAAAGTATAATGATTGACGAATAGCGAGTAGCGTGTGACGGTGAAGAAAATTAGAGATTATTACAAAGTTTTGTAAATAACGACAGAGATATTAATAAAACGATACTTATTCAAAGGAACAAGCATGCCGTGTGGAGAACGCTGAAACGTGTCTCGATTCTACCTATCCTATCTTTCCTCTGTCTTTCCCTTTCCCTTTCCCCTTCTCTTTTCTTCTTAACCTCCGAGAGGTTGGACAAAGGATTGAATGCACCTGAATAGGACGCGGATTGACACGAGTCCGAAAGCGCTGATCGGCGAGATTCAGCGAGTCATCAGAATGTCGGGATGATTGTTTCCATTGTATTACATGGCTGAATCTATTTCTTAACAGCTCTCGTGCAAACGGGAATTCATAATGTCGGATAAAGATATAAGTAAATCAAATTTCAAGAATTTACAGAAATCTGAAAAAGACATTTCGCGTAATGTACATATTTCATGCTGTAATTCATTTTCAAGAAGACTATGCTATTTATCATCGTCAACGCATCGTAACATCATCCATCGCGAGTTACGGTAATTTGTGAATAAAATATAATCTTCCTCGACATCGATCTACCAGGAGTTCAATTAATTACCCTCCGCCATTAAGAACACGCAATCAACACCCCAATTAAATTCCACGAATAAATGCCTGCTTCTCCTATCGAAGAGAAAGAAGAGGCTAAGAATGTTTCATTACATCTCTGGCGATTTTTGATCATGTCTGTTTCTCATAGTGCGGAACGAATCAGCTTCGCGAATAGCGCCATGGAAACACCCTCGCGAGAGCCAGAGCCGCGTGTTCCTGGCCCCGTAACGTCGTAACCCCCTTAGAATGCGACGGTGTAGCTACGATTATTAAGGTAAGCTGATCTCCTCGATAGGTGAAGGTTAATGCCCGGCATACAGGTAGAGAGGTGAAGCCACCACCAGGAGTCGGCCTGCTGTTATTGGATATTTGCAGAGGGTCTGCAGCCGGGACTTAACCCCACGGGGGTAGGATTCCGGCGATTTATCAAGAGCACCGTGACTAATTGCTCCTGGAAGAGCGAATACAGGTACATGGCGTAACGTGTTTGCGCGCGCGCGCAATTTACCGGGTCAAAAGGGAAAGGTTGCCCGGCAGAAAACTGTTTCCGACTTCCGTGGCGGAAGTGAGATTAATGAAAGCCGAGGGGAAAGCGACCGTATTCTTTGCTCCCTTTTCTTTCTTGCTCCAACAGTTCGTCACGGTATTATGAAATTTCGCGAATTACCGCTGCCACTGTCGACGATGACCCTTCAGCGATCTGCGTTTCGACGTCTTTCCTAGATCGTACCATTCTCTGCAGTGTGGTTTCTGGATTCTCTGAGAGGTCTAAAGTGAAAGAGAATATGCATGTGTTATCTTAATCGCATAATACTTCTGTTGAATTTTTTTATTAGTATCTATAAATCTAACATTTACTGCAACTTCATAAAACGTTGTATATGTTAATACATATATCACTTCATCAAGTGCATTATAAAAATAGAAATATAAATATAATTTCTTAAAAGTTGAAATTGTAAGAAAAATAGTCAGTATTTCATTTAAATTGTCGGCATCAAAGTTAAGTAGGTATACCTGAATTGCGTGATTCCAAATTCGTACTCAAATCGCGTGAATAATTACATCACAGCAAAGGGTAGAGAAATGAAAGAAAAAGGTGGTCGCACGCGTTCCACCTCGATGCTGTCATCGCGCGCGTGTCGCCAGTTTATGTGTGTGGGTGCGTGTGCCGCATGACATACGAGAGGTCCTGACGGTGACAGGCCTCTGCTTCTGGTGGTCACTCTTATACACTGGTATCCCATATCGCACCCCACACACCCCTCTCTTTCTCTCGCTTCGCCCGCCATTATCATATTTATTAACTGCCGCTCGACGCTTATATCTACACCTATTCGCTGCCATTCCTATATAATATAATCTGTGCCAGTGACAGCAGCACGTGGCTGCAGCCTCCATCCGCTTTCCCTCATCCCGTTTACCCTCGTCCTCTAAACTTCCAGCTACTATCTTTCTCGTTATTTCTCTCTTTTTCCCCTGTCTTCGACACTAGCGCCTTTATTATTAGCTGGACCACGGATTTGCTG